CATCCCCAGGCGGGCCAACGAAACAAAGTCCCACCACACAGTCAACAACACAGGCTCAAGCAACTACTGTCTCTTCCTCTGGTAAGAAATTTTACACTGTTTGACAAATCGAAACGCGTGTTAGCTGACATCATTATATAAGTTTCTTTTCTTTTTTTTTTTTTTCAAGCAACGAACAAAAATACGTCTTCAAATATCGAAAGATATCAAGTTTGGTTACCAAGATCGGTTTACAATTGCATTAACACATTGTTTGTAACTTTTGCGGTTTTYAAACATTTGATAACTACAGCTACACAAGCTGTCGTTGAAAATATTTCAGAAGGTTAACATTGATATCTCTATAAAGCGGAACCTTTTGATTTCATTTAAAGGACCCCTAGTAGCATGGTCCTAAAATGTCCTTATCATATTAACGGTGGTTGCTGTACAACAAACCTCTGTTCATCGGACACCCTTCATTAAACGGACAGCTAATTACACGGTACCGCAATTTCCTCTCAATATTTACTGTAAAACAAACATCTATTAAGCACCATCTATTGACACCCTCTATTAATCGGTCACCAGGCAACGTAGAAGGTCCTGAATGTGTCCGCTTAAGAGGTACCACTTAAGAGGTACACAATACTTTTACCAATCATATACCCCATTCACACTTAACGTGTTTAGTTAAACTATGTTTTCATTAGTAAAAAAATTGAGAAACTACAAACCTACAATATAATGAAGCTTTCTAAAATATTGTCAGAGCAAGACAAAGGATAGCTTACATGCACTATTTCACCAAATATTGTGCAGTGTTCGTATATAATTTTTTAAACCTGTTTAGTTAAACCACTTTAAAACATGTTTAAGCCTTGGTGTGAATGGGGTAATAGTCTTCGCTGAATTTTGAGGAAGACATTGTTTTATTGTATCGATTTTAATGTTTGAAGCCCAACTGCAGCTTTAATTTGTTTTTCAGATTGTGAACTACAGTTTGGTGCAGCTTCAATACATAACATGATCAAGATCACTAACGCATTTACTACGACTCTTCAGATGTTCACTATATCATTCTGGTTAAAAGTTCCATCTTCCTCGCTAACCCTTTATCCATTTAGTTATGCCACGAGTAGCGAGACATCTGCCATAAGCATTGCGATAAAAGAAGATGGTGTCATGGAGGTGGGCGCAAATGGAGGAGGAAAGTAAGTATCTCCCACGCTGGGTCTGTAAACCAGCACATTCCCAGATCAGGAGCCCATTACTATAAGAGCGTTCATTTCCCATACTGAGTCTGTGAGCCAGCATATTCTCACATCAGGAGCCCATTACTAGAAGCATCCATCTCTCGGTCTGTACGATAGCATATTCCTATGCTGCCCATTACTAGGAGCATCTATCTCCCATACTGGGTCTGTGAGCCAGCATATTCCCAGTTTAGGAGCCCATTACTAGGAGCATTATTAAATTAATTTAAAAAATTGCCAGATTCTGAATCAATTATGATTAGTAATACGATAATTGATTTGTTGATAGGGGCATTGATTCGTTTCTTCAGAGAAACAATGTTTGGCAGCACTTCGCAGTAACCTGGGAGTCTAGTAATGGAAATGTAAAGCTTTATTACAATGGCGGACAAAAATCCAGTACGGAGTCAGGTATGGCTCAAACAAAGATAATTCCTACAGGAGGTATTTTGATAGTAGGCCAGTACCAGGGAGAGCTAGCCGGCGGTTTCGACGATACTAAAACGATGCGGGGTAATATTGCTGGTCTAAATTTTTGGTCTTCTGAATTTACCGCAGATCAGGTCACGGAACTTTATAAACAAAGTTGTGGCGCTCCTTCAGGCGATGCGCTGTCTTGGGTCATGATATTGGCGGGAAAAATAAGAGGAGATTTGCAGAAAATGTGCCCTACAACTTGTCGCTCCTGAATGTAAAGAAAACTCGTGCATATTTCTATGACATCTATTTCCTACCCTAAAACAGCCCCAACATGTACTACAATGCTAACTAGAAACGGATTTTCCCTCGCGGAATTGCTGAAAGTCCCCTTCACAGTTCCTAACCTCATCCTGAAAGGTAACCATGACTGTGCTTCGAAGTGAGAGGAACGGTGCAATGATGATAGAGACGTGAATAATTGCCCAAGGAATAAAAAAAGGTCTCTGCTTCGATGCACAGGAACGGTTACCTTGAAGATGGCGCAGGGAACTGTGAAGGGGACTATATTCGAACCCTCTAAAACTCTAGTTAGAGTACCGTGATTAAAACTATGGAGCAGGAGGAAGAAAATAAGGAAGGGGGAGAGGGAGGGGGGGTGGGATGATGGCACCGGGTCCTTGTTCTCAACTGGGTGAGTACAGGGGTAAAGTCTTAAGTTATAAGTTTAAACATAGATAACTTGCTACACTTATTTTCGCACATAGCAACGCAGGTAAAGCAGTCGATGTGCTCAAAATTCCGTTAGAGCACGCTATTCTACCAATCAAAGCGCACGTAACAAAATGATCATTACCATAACGAAGTTTACATTTAATTCAATTATTTTAGCAGCACACTGCAGTACAAAAGTTACAAATTCTTTAGAAAAAATTCGCACAAACCACTAAGACTTTCTCTAAAATGTTCATAGAAAATCAAGGTAATAACTTTTGCAGTCCTTCGAGGACATTTTTACGCACGCGTACGACATAAAGTTTCCCCCATTTTACAAAGAGTAGCCTTCGTTTCCAAGTCCTACTGATTGGCTAATAAAACAACAAAAAGCTGACAATACAGCACAAGAAGAGCCAGGTTTGTCCCCGTTCTTGTTTCCCACCGGCCAAAGTATTTTACTTCTTGACGGGAAACAATCTCAGGTTCTTCAAATAAAATCGAAGCACAAAAAATTGTGCTTTAATTCTTTCTTTTTTCCCATCTCTCTTTTTGTATTATAAAAATCGAATTAGGATGCCATGCTTCTAAAATCAGGCTCAGTTAAAAAGGTTTATAAAGGTCAGAAGACCCCTTTGTACTCTCTGTGAGAAATTACTCTGCATCGCCAAAAATTTGAAATGCCTTCCCCTAGAGAAGACTAGTTACCTTATTTCCTTAATTTAGTTCTAAAAATAAAAACGAAAAGGCGAGCTTTAATCTTGTTTTTAAGGTCTGTGAAATGCCTTTAAAGAAAGGCGAAAAAATTAAGGAATAAGACCATTATATTATCGTTAATGAGGAAGTATGTTTTTTAGCCTCTTGAAGTCCTGTAATACCAGGAGGCTCTATCAGAACGATTTTGTCCCATTTGTATTTCTTAATTCAATACGTTTATATTGTTGACCCAGCATCTGATGTTGAGAAGAAATATTATAAAATAGAGACTTGGGATAAAATTTCAATGAAAGGGAGAGCGATGGAGATAAATCTTACTTGTCTAACTCTCAGGAGTTATTTATAACGACGTAGTAGACCACTGATTTTAGATTTCAAAGCCTGCGAGAACAAGGAAAACGTTGTAGAAGTTAATAAGAGGGGATGGATCCGCAATTGGACGGGACGTGATAGGCTTAATGGATGGGTGGATGGATGACTGGATAAATGAATAAATGGGTTGAATAGATTGGTGAATGTTTGGGATCGGTGGATGAATGAATTAATGGGTAGAAGAATAAATGAATGAATGGAATGGATGGATGGATGAGTTGGTGAATGGATAGGTAGATGAATGAATGGATGGGTAGATGAATGGATGGATAGATGGATGGATGGATGGATGGGTAGATGAATGGATGGAATAGAGAGAAAAATTTATTTGATTGGCAGAAGAATGGATGGGTGTACGAATAAGATGGATGGGTAGAAAATTGAGATGGATGGATAGATGGGATGATGGATAGAGGGGATGAAATGTAGGCGTGGAAAATTAGATGGATGTATTTATAGGATGTTGGCTAGATGGAGGAATACAGGAAGAGAGGGAAAGACGATTCAGACAATGTACTAACCCTCAGATCCTCTGGGTTGTTGGAGCAGATTTCGTAAATATTTGTCGATATATCTTCACTCGTACCTCTTGCCTTAAAAACATAATCATCATAAAATCGTATTTTTCTTATGGTCTTTTAGCACCACCTTTTTTAGATTTTTCTTAAAAGTCCTTTTACACTAGAAATGTTGTAAATTTCGAGCATGCTCGAATTTGCACCGTTTACCATGTTCGATTCAGGAGTGTGAAGCCGCTCAATTTATGCGACAAAATTGCTAGTGTAAACGTACCGGGGATTAAATATTTTTTTAGAATCATGTATTACTATCTTATTTACACAACTTCAGCCTTTGACAGCATCTGTTTATGATTATTTTTAAACGTTCAAGTTACTTACTTGGTACTTAAGGACAAGAGAATTACTGGCAATGAATGGAGGTGATGACACCTCTTGGTACAAACACATCCAGTCAACTTTCCATTCATGCCAGAAGCGACTCTGATAAAGCTTTATTATACGCCTACAAAATAACAATACACACACGACCCAAGTTAACACATGTATATTTTTTCGTTCTTTTTTTAGGGCATGGGTGGGATGGAAGTTGTAAATATATATACTTATTTCAATAACGTTAGTCATCAAAAAACCTACAAAGCTGATATCACTGAGCATCATGGGAAACTTTTAATATCAAAAAAGTAAAGCTTTTAATACAAACTGCAGCTTGAGCACGCTCAGAAGAGGTGAGACTGTATCTGGTAAAAGATCTAAAATCCATCAACAGTTATTAAAGCGGTTGAAACATGCAAAATGTGTGAACCCATAATTATTGTCGGTTTCTGCTTTGTAGCTTTTCAGGTGAATAACTATATTGAAATAAGTATTTACAGTCAATTCCGAAAATTTTTTCGTTTTGTCGTCGGTAACTCAAGCCTACGCAACAGGACCGAAAGGTACTCTGGGTAGAAATCACTGAAGCCAAGTTGACTGCATAATTTTATCTGACTAGTTATGCCTGGTTTACAGCACGAACGTTCGTAGGCGAGCGGGAAGTGTTGAAGGAGACGTTTTTTAAATGTCTTCATATTTTCAAAATTGTGAACTGAATCAGAACTACTTTGTTCTTCTTTCCCTAAGACATGCATTTAATGGGTTGTTTCTCGCCATTACTAGTGGAAACAATAAATTCAGAACGAATATTTAACCTCTTCAGTGATTTTATTCCCTTTTGGTCCAGTCGCGTAGCCTTGAGCCGGTCAACGACAACGTTTTTTGAATCGACTGTTTTTAAATAATATCAGTCTTACTTGTTGGTCAACAGAACAAGTGCACTGTTTTCTTGGTCGGTTATACTATAATCAGAAACGTAGATGTCTCTTGAAAGCTCTAAGCTTCGAGGTAGGCTCTGAAATAAAGAATAGTATGAGGCAAGGCACGCTTTTATTGGAGGGGGTGGGGGAGGGGTTGGGAGGGAAGGGTTGGGGGAGGGGGTAGGGATGAGGGCTGGGAGATTCGAAGTAAACCTTAAAATATGGTTTTAGCCCTGCCCCTTTCACTTGGTAAGAAATTCATGGCCCTCCTATTAAGTCACGAAGGAAACTGCTTTCGTCAAATAATAAATAGGTTTGACCCTCCACAAAAGTTCAAGTTCCTACTCAGACAGACCGACAGACGTATTTTATTTGGCGTTTTGCACATAGTTGTACATCAACTTAGTTCCAAATAAGTTATGACACTGTTACTCGTGACCCTCCCCT